ATCACTTAATTCCATTCCCAAAAGCAATCTTCAGAATAATCGAGAAATTGTCTTGTTGACAATATCTCCCAGCCACCTGCATTCTCACTACTACATATTATCCTCACATATTCAAACGTACTGGAGGTTTGATGATTCGTTTTGATCTGCCTTCTGCTTCTTCCCCATTAATTCTTTCATTCAACATTCAACCCCTTATTTTCATCTATATATTTGCACTAGATTCATTACGAAATGCACTTCGTCTCACTAATTCTTCCTCGCCTCTCACACCTTTATCAGAATCATCACTTTCCTGGTCATTATTCAACTCTTTTACATTTGCGGCATTTCCAATCCTCTGATCACTTTCACAATCTTCTATCCAATGTTTCCTTGCAAAATCGATACTACCGTTTTCAGTAACCGCAACAGACTTATCTCTCGATATTTGATCTGAATGACCCTGTAAAGTCCATTGATTTATACACCCAGTGCATGAAGATAGATGATATAATTTGATATTTTGAAGTTAGTTGTCAATAATTTATTTCTGAATTTGTCATTGATATTTTGCCAAAAATACATACATTTGCTAACGTGCCTTTTTGTGTGTGTATTTTACATTGGTCCTTCGAGCCAAATCTTGGCACCAGTAGATATTTCTTCAGGGATTTTCTTCAAATTCAATGAAAATACAAAACAATCTTTCAATGGAAGCCATGATAATCCTAACACTCTTTCAATACTTTCAAAGCAATATCGGCTGGTGCTCGCAAATGTTCAGGTATAGAATTCATCACCATTTGGTCATTTCAAAACCAGCTTCCAAATGGACGAGATTGGTTAGGTCAACTGCATGGATAATTTTCGCTGTGAAACAGTTTTGCTTGCCAAAATTAGAGAGATCCCATACTCTCACACTGGGAGTAGAAGAAATCGAGAAAGCATCCAAATTATGGATTATTAAATCGCAGTGGGAATCATTCAAACTGGAAATTCAAGATTTGCACGAGAACAAAGATATTTCAAGAGCCAGTCGACTCCTTAAATTATTAGTATTTTTGGACAGTGATGGCATATTACGTATTGGAGGAAGACTGCCTGATATCGACATTGACTGTGATTCAAAATTTCTAATGATTTTATCCCCTGATAACAGATACACCAAACTTTTGATAGATCATCATCACGTAAAAGCTGGGCATGTCGGTATAGAAACAGTCGTCAACAACCTCCGTATGAAATATTGGATTTTGCATATACGAGCAGCTGTTAAGAAGAGTTTTCGAGCATGCCAACGCTGTAGAATAAGAAAGTGCAAGCCAATTGCTCCTGAAATGGGATTTTTACCAAGGAAACGAGTTGAGTCATTTGTTTTTCCGTTTACATTTGTTGGAATTGACTTTTTTGGCCCAATGAATGTTTCAATCGGCCGAAGAGTAGAAGAAAGATACGGTGTGATCTTCAAATGCCTGACGATCAGAGCCGTACATATTGAATTGGCATCTTCATTGGACACAAGTTCTACAATCATGGCCATAAGAAGATTCATGTGTAGAAGAGGACAGCCGAAAGACATTTTCACTGATAATGGGACGAATTTTGTAGGCGCTCAAAGGGAGATACGAGAATTAATACAGAGTCTGGACAATCAGGCAATTGCTGACAAGTTGAGTATAGACAACATCTTTTGGAAATAATTCAACCCACCAGGCGCAGCTCATATGGGAGGCATATGGGAGAGAATGATCCGATCTGTGAAAACCGCTCTGAAGATTACTCTCAAATCAATGAATCCGAAAGAAGAAGTGCTAATGACGTTGATGCTGGAGGTAGAATATATGATCAACTCTAGACCTCTTACGCACATATCCATAGATCCCTCAGAACCTGAAGCTATTACACCTAATCATTTCATTTTATTGAGATCAGGCCAAGTTAAATCTTATGGTGATATAGAAAATGAAACTCACCTCACGAGGAAACGATGGCGTCTCGTTGAATCATTAGCAAATTCTTACTGGAAACGCCGGATAAATGAATATAGACCACAGCTAATACAACGACAAAAATGGCACAAAAAAATTGATCCAATAAAAATTGGAGATATAACTATCATGGATGAAAAGCTCCCAAGAAATGAATGGTTATTGGGCCGAGTTCAAGAAACTTATCCTGGTACACCAAGAGTGGCACAAATAAAAACAAAAAAAGGAATTTATACCAGGCCAGACACGAAACTATGTATTCTCCCAACGTCGGCAAGTTAGTTGTGAAGATCACATATCTTCACGGGGTGGAGAATGTAAAGTCCATTGATTTATACACCCAGTGCATGGAGATAGATGATATAATTTGATATTTTGAAGTTAGTTGTCAATAATTTATTTCTGAATTTGTCATTGATATTTTGCCAAAAATACATACATTTGCTAACGTGTCTTTTTGTGTGTGTATTTTACAGACCCTTTCAGCATAGATCCTCATACGATACTTTGAATTATCTTGTCTATTAGCAATGTCCTAGGGATATTACTACTGAAAACATAACAATACCTTCCTATTCGACCCAAAATCTCTATCTGAATTTTTGATTCTGGAGCGGATTGATCTCAATCTACTCTTCCAATCTCCTTCAACATTGCTTCTCTATTCACTGTCAGCTCTAGCAGCTCTGGAAAATCCTTCTTTAACGAACTCTCTTCGCGAATCTATCCAAGATAAGTTCTTCATTCATACTAGTAACGAATTTGTCTCTGACTCTTTCCATAAACATGTCTCCAACAAATTCACCCTTAGCAGCAATATTCCTCACTTTCACATATCAATAATTTATAGATTCCATTATTGCTTTAAAGAATCAAACTGAATTCTTCATGTATATGTAGTTAGCCTAATTCGGAACTGACCAGTAAGTAACTTGATCAATTCAGCATTTTTTTCTTCGGTTTCTGAGGATAACATAGATTTTTCCGAATTTGGTATACATCTCCACATATTTGGTAAATATGCAACATTCCCTGAGTTCACTAGCGTGATATTCTGATGATTTTCCCTGATTTCTCTTTCCAAAACTTCTTATGCCTTTGGTTTATTATTTTCCTCGTCAAATTTGTTGTATATTAACAAAATCAATATTTTGCGGAACGTAATTTTATTCCCGGAAGCAATTTTCAGAGCAATCGAAAAAGTGTCTTGTTGAAAATATCTCTTAGTAACCTGCATTCTTACTACTTACTTTTACTAATAAATCACACATTCCATCTCTTATAGAACATATTTGTGTCTCATGTTTTTTGTTCAGCTATTTAATAACATGACAAGTGTGTCCACACTCTTCAATGGCCGTTGAATGAGATGTTCGAAGCACTCTAATCTAGCCTATCTGTGCAAATATTTCCAAGGACTCCAAAAATTTCACTAATCCCAGCTAACCCGAACTTCCTTTTAAAAGTTCAAATAACTGTTGAAGTGAGAACTAGGTGGTTCCATAATTTTTACAAAACTTTTGATACGAAATAGAAATTTCAATGGAAGTGAACAAATATTCAAAATTCACAGTTTGAATGGTCGTTAACGGTCGTAGATAACTAGATAGATATAACTTTATTTCACCAGGATATTATGTTACATATAACATTTGTAGCAAGTCCAAAGTGTCAAACAAATAATATTAAAATTTATCTACGATCACTGTAGACAATAGCCAAGAAACACACGATACACAGCCCCAGTAAGTAGCTCATTACGCACGGTAAGCAAAACGCACAGTTTCAATATGCTATTTAACATAATAGTGATTCAATCTCAACAAATGCAGATATTACAACGTCATATTGTTGGATACATCTGGATACTTCTTTATTTATTCATAAAAGTTGAAGTATGAAATATATTTAGTAGCCATGCCTGAATAAGTTGGCAACAAATGGAAAACTTCATTGTTGATTATAGGAAAAAACATTCTTCATAAAAAGTTCTGCAAATCCTAAATCCAAAAATGCGAATATCAGATATCGAATTTTTTCAGTCGTATACGAGGTATGTCAAAATACATTAATGTTGCCCAGGTGTTAAGTACCTTTATTTTCGACCATTAGAGAAAAAAGTTGACTAGAATTGAAAACTACGTTCAAATTTTCAATAACATTTATCTACGATGAACATCATGTTTCATTATTTTTTACAATTTCAGATCGATTCATTTGGACGCTGTATTGGCTTAGGTAAAGTATTGTACAACAACTTGTTACATATTATATGATCATAATAAAAAAGAATTTCAGAACAGCATAATAATAATTGGTGAATATCATGCAGTTTTCGTTCTCTCGTGAAGTTGATACAAACAGTCGATTGAACGATACTAAATGAGAAGAAAATTCGTAATCTCGTCGAATTGGAAATAATCACCAGTAGAGAAAGAAGCCTGTAATTCAATCCGATAAAATATCTACTAATTTGCCTAACTATGTCAATGTGTGTTGTATGTGTATAGTATTTGAGAATATCATCTCATTTACATGACTGAATGAATGTGTATGTGATTATTACATGAATTTGTAAACTCATAATAAATGATGCAAATATTTCAGGTTACAAACAAATGAGAAGCTGCTTCTTTGTTGATGGATATTCGTATTCTGTGGCTTACAGAAATAATGGAAAAACGTAAGTCAGATTTTTTCTCATTTGAATAGTGTCAAAAACATGTTTTCTTTGAATTCATAGACCTTGGGAATTGAATTTGGGATTGAAATTCAATAATGCGTCTAAAGGGATTGTAGTTGAATTCTTTATACTTATTTTCTCTGACGAGCTGAATTTGTTTATCGTTACTCTGAAACTAATCCTATAAAATTATCGGTTTTAATATCCACAATCAGTTTTCATTGTCTGAAAACAAAAATTCCACCCCAAGAGAAATTCAATGAGAGCATGCTGTCATTTACGCTTTCGATTGATGCTAATATTTACTTAAACATTAATAATAATTGTAAAATGCACTCGTTTTTAAGGTATTTCTCGTGTTCAGCACGTCGTAGTAGTAACTGCAGAGCCCGAGCTTATATTCCTCCAGGAGCTGAACATGATGAACTGGTCCTGACCAAAGAACACTCTCATCCGCCGGATTTCTTCCTGGAAAAGAAAAACAAGATTTGGAACATCATCAAACAGTTTGCTATCACTTTACCTGGAACAACTGCCCAGGTCTACAACAGTGTTGTTTCTCTGTGAGTAGCTGTTTTTCAGTCTGGGTTTTTCTATTTCCTTGTTATCTATACTGAGGAAAAAATATATACTCTTGACTAGAATAATGGTTAAAACGAGGATAATATCTCACAAATACATTTTTTATTTACAGGTATCCAGAAACAGAAGAACTGTTTCCTTTCAAGAAGGTAGAGAGATCTATCAGCAAGTTCCGAAAGCGTCATAGACCTGATTTGACAAAGTGATGTTCTTCTTAGAATTCATTTTAAAGTTTCATCTACACAGATTCAGATTTTACAGAAAAATATTTGATATGAGATTTCTGAAAATACTATATTCCTCTCTAGTACAAACACACATCACTTATGGTATACTCACGTGGGGAGGAATAAAAAATAATCATCTGAAGAAATTGGAAGTCACCCAAAAATGGCTGCTAAAAATAATTTTCAAAAAACCATATAGACACCCTAGCAAACAACTTTTTGAAGAAGCGCAAGTCTTAGATATTAGACAACTTTACTTTCAGTCCTTAATGATAAGACATCACAAATTCAAACATAAGGCTCAACAAATTTTTCATAGACATAATACCCGGTATAAATCAAAATCAACACTTATTCCCAAAACCAGAAAAACGGTCTCTCAAAGATGTTTTACTTATCTTTGTCCTGTCCTCTATGCTGAGATTCCGTTCTACTTGAGGGAGAATAACTTCATTAGATCATTCAAAAAAAATCTTAAAGAATGGATTCTAAATACACCAAGAGCAAGAATTCATCAATTAATCAACAGAAAGAACAACTTATGACAGCACTATTTGACATTATATATTCCCTTACTCTTGTGATATTGAGTTATATTTGCAAAAACACATACTATGTTATTGATATCATTTATGAATATTTATATACATATACATATATATTGCATTATATTTATTGCACTATGTAAACCATACATGCTGCGAGTAGCATATTTCTATAGGTCCTTATTATAAGTTTATTGTATTTATTCACTGTTATATTGGCTTTTTTCAACACTATGCTTCATGCTCCATATACCCACATTCAAGGTTCGCCTTTGTGGGTCTTTGAAGTTTGTTTACCGAGTGTGAATCTGAAGATTTGTATATTTCTTGTAGATAATCTAGTTATTTTTGTTATTATTGTTTTATTGCACAGTGGTTAATAAACTTACTTATTATATTATTATTATTATTATCTTGTTGGAGTGGCATTGCCTTTGATATTTTTGTAAATTGTTGAAATCTACAAAATCCTCTAGTGTGGTGGAAATGATTCAAGATAATACTATATTAAATTTAGTTTTAAATTTAGTACTATTTAGATTTCTTGGTATAATAAATTCGGGTATCATTTGATACCCAAAAACTATCAGGAGTGCACCAGTATGCGTCATTTTATTATTCCCCGATATGCTATAGATTTCAGACAGCGCCTAAGACCTCATCAGACATAGACTCATAGAATAATTATAATGAAACTAAAATAATCTCGATTATGTGATGTAATGTGTATGTAGACGAATAAGTAGAGGTCTGCACCTTTTCCAGTTATATTTAGGAAAGCGTCAATTGAATTTCAGGATAGTCAATTCAATTTCAGATAGCGTCAATACTATTCAGAATGGTCAATTAAATTTCAGAAAGTGTTGATTGCATTCTAGAAAATATCAATTGAAATTCAAATGACAATTTCTGGAATACAATTGACGCTTTCTGAAATACAAGTGACGCTTTCTGAAACTAAATTGACTAATCTGAAATACAATCGATGCTTCCTGAAATACAAGTGACTATTCTGAAACACAATTGACGCTTTCTGAAATACAACTGGAAAAGGTGTAGTACAATGTAATGATGCAACAAAACTGCTAGTTATTCATACGAAACTTTTTCCTTTTAGATGACACCCTGTATATGTATTCGTAATTATCTACACATTTTACAGTGGTATTTCATAAAGAGTCAATCCCGTTTCAGAAAACGTAAATTGTATTTCAGAATAGTCACTTGTATTTCAGAAAGCGTCTATTGTATTTCAGAATATTTACTCGTAATTCAGAAAGTTTCAATTGTATTTGAGAATAGTCCATTGAATTTCAAGAAACTTCAATTGTATTTCGGAACTATTGTCATTTGAATTTCAGAAAACGTCAATTGTATTTCAGAATAGTCAATAGAATTTCAGAAAGCGTCAATAATTGTATTTTAGAATAGTCAATTCAATTTCAGAAAGCGTCAATTGAAATTCAATTAATATTTTCTGAAATACAATAGACTATTCTGAAATACAATTGACGCTTGCTGAACTGGAATTGACTATTCTAAAATACGATTATTGACGCTTTCTGAAATTCTATTGACTATTCTGAAATACAATTGACGTTTTCTGAAATTTAAATGACGATTATTCTGAAATAGAATTGATGCATTCTGAAATACGAGTAACTATTCTGAAATACTATTGACTCTTTCTGAAATTCAATTGACCATTCTGAAATACAATTGACGCTTTCTGAAGTACAATTGATAATTCTGAAATGAAATTGACACTTGCTGATCTTTAATATGATGAAATACTTCATTCAGAAAGCGTCAATTGTATTTCAGAAAAGTCAATTTATTTTCAGAAATAAGCGTCAATTGTGTTTCAGAATAGTCAATTTAGTTTCAGAAAGTGTAATTTGTATTTCAGAAAATATCAATTGCAATTCAAATGAGACTTTCTGAAATTCATTTGACTATTCTGAAATACAATTGACCCTTTCTGAAATACAAGTGACTATTCTGAAATACAATTGACGCTTTCTGAAATTCAATTGACTATTCTGAAATACAATTTATGCTTGAAATGCAAGTGACTATTCTGAAATACAATTGACGGTTTCTGAAATTGAACTGACGCTTTCTGAAATACAACTGAAGAAGGTATAGCTAAATTCAAACACATATACGTATTCTAATTGCTGCCTAAAATATGGGATATAATTCCTCAACTTATTTCTTATGAACATATGCCCTAAACCTCATAACTTTCGAGCTATAGGGTGCTATTTTAAGAAAAAAATGGTTTTATTATCATAATTCTAATACTGTTCTAGATATTTTCATGAAATTTGACGTGCACCTACTAAGAACGAATGATGTCTGTATATGCCATGTATTCTAGAGACGAATGATTTTTGAAATCCCCATTTATAACACAAATAGAATGACAAACACTCTCCGAAGACTGCAAGAAGATATATACTGATGCTTGATGTGTTCATAATAATATACCGATATTGGAGAAATGTAATGAAAATTTGTGATGACAATGAACATTGTTGTGTATGGAGAATATTTCCTCGAATAAGTTACAATTATTTATGTTTCCAAGAAAAAAATAGGATCATAATATGAAATTCTCAACATTAATTTCAATAATTTAGTGTTAGAGATCTTCCGGTAGAAGCTACAATGAGGAAACTTCGAATCTAAGTATTTGATGTGTTCCTCCATCAAATGACTACTTCACTGATTACATCTAAAGGGTGAATCGAAAAATCAAAAATATAAAAAATTTCCATCGAATAGAGAAAGAAAGAAAAGAAATGATTCTATTCATCTATGAGGACAATACATTACACATATGACAAAGATATAGTTTTTTATGTTCTGGTTCCCGCGAAAAGGGATATCCTGTAATGTTCAGAGAACATCGTGAGAACCAAGGGATAGGTAGACAAAAACTTTTTTTAAGATTCGAGGAATTCCTCAACACTAGAATGCATTAAAAGGTAAAAATGAGTGGACGTGAATGTGCTTTGGTGACTGCTGCCCTATGTGTAGCCGTGAGAATGGTTGATGGATATTTGATTTTTTTCTGGTGTTATGAATGTATATCTTGATTTTTGTCAAAAACTTCCTGATTCTCTCTGACATACATTGAGTGAAAAATAAAAAGACTAGGTAACGTCAGAATCTCTGTTATTGGTGACACATTATACATGGCTCTCAAGACTTTCTTCTGAGCTACGAAAGCTATCAAAGTGAACTGAAGAGCCCCAAAATATTAAACCATATTGGAGGACTGACTGCCCTAGTCCATAATAGAGAAGTTTCAATATGTGAAATGATACTGTTTCTCTTAGATTTATTATCATATAACAATAAGTACTTGATTTTGCAGTTACAATATTTATATGCGCTTCCCAAGTGAGTTTTGTATTTAATGTTATTCCCAAGAATTTGATAGTTTCAACACTCTTAATGGATTTCTTGTTTATGTGTAAATACGGCTCATAATCAGGTGTTACATTGTTTGGCAGGAAACGCATGAAATGAGTTTTTGTCACATTCATAGTTAGTCCATTTTCCTTGCAGCACTGATCAAATCCATAGGATGCCTTATTACTGTTCTGAATGAGTTGTTCAATTCCATTATTTGACATGAGAATATAAGTATCATCAGCATATTGAATAATTTGTTCGGTAGCTGAACAAAATTTAGTGATATCACTCACAAAGATGATAAAAAATAAAGGGCCAAGTATACATCCCTGTGGCACACCCAAAGTGGATTGACGAGGGACAGATCTAGCATTATCGGTTATAACAACTTGTGTTCGGTTTGATAGATAGGACTCTGCCCAATCATAAGGCTTTCCACGTATTCCCATCCCTTCCATTTTCTGCAGTGAGAGATTGTGATCTACTGTGTCAAATGCACGGCTGAGATCATAAAAAAGTCCTAAAGTATTCTGTTTATCATCATAATAACTAACACCCTACATGAGATATTGCGTTCAAATTTCATATGGACGTATTTCAGCTATGCCTGAATTAAATAGGCTAGTCCGTTACCATCGAGATTAGAGATAATCTCGATGGTAACAGCTAGTTACCGTTTAGGAAAGTAATTTCTTCGCGTACGATTGCACGGAAACGTAATTTTGTGTAATGATGGTTTTCATGATTTTCAACTTTAGAATTAGGATTTTGAAATTATTCGGAGCCA